ATTTTAAGTGGACAGTGGGAACAAAACTAAATTGTTTTTATTGCCCCACTAGTTGTGTTTGTTTGGCATCCTAGTTAACGTTGTCGTTTATTGACATTGGGTTTATGTAGCAATAATAGATTTAATAGATAAAACAAGATTCTTTCTATTTGGGAATTTGCTGATGTGAGGGTGGCAGCAGGACAACCAAGTGAATTCATAGCTGTATGAATTTAGACCTAAGGAAGAAGTCAAGAAATACTCGTATGTTTCTCTTGAGCAATTTTTTCCCCCTTTAGCTCTTTATGAATGATGATCACTTCAAAACCAAGATATCTATAATCCCTCAATAATCTTTGTGGGTTTATCTGCTTTGATCAAACCTACAGAAGGCTACCAAGATAAACTATCTGAAATACCATATTTTTGTGCCTCAAGAACAGTGACTACCAATCAATTATCAATCAAGTTTGAATTTCTCAGCTCAGCAGGCAATTTTCACCACTTGTCTCTCCATATTTACTTTAACTCATTTCTCGCCACTTCCACATGGGACCACTATTTCTGACCCCAACAGAACTCTTTATGCTTCATTTATACTTTTGCCGTTCACCATACTGGAACACTCTTTCAACCAAATTCTATTTTCAACACCCAATTCAGACACTCTTAACATGGGTTTCAGGCAAACCAGGGGGTTTATAAGGCCCCTGAGATTGCAGATGAATTTGTATGCCTTTCGTGGGAACAATTAAGACAGTTTTAACATAGGGTCTGTAACCCAGAAAATAGTTAAGAACCACTGACATAATCTAAAGTATACGATTCACTTCACTGTACTCACTGTTCACTGCCCTTCCCAGAACCTGTGATTACAGAGCCTCTTCTCCATGCCTCACTGTGCTCGCTCTTGCTGCAGCTGCTCCCACTGATTGCCCCACAACCAGCTGGAAGTTACTCTGGGTCCAGAGTAACTCTGACCACAGACAGGAAGTACTTTTGCTTCCTAAGCCCCCACATTCAGCTATTATTTCTCAGACTAACCTGAGATGTGGTTTGCCAGGGTTTTCTGATAACTGTACCTGGTTGCTGGTTACCTAATGTTTTGGGTCCCTCCTGAACAATCATGCATATGCTCCATGATTGAAAGTTCCCTCATTCCCTGGCATCACTGCAGTTGGCCTTCTGTGCCATGTCTATCTCCACAGAACTCCTGACTTTCCACTGTTAGGTCCTGTCCTCGTTTTTACAACTACTGCACTTCATCTTGGGCTCCAATAACGATAATGTTGATGCCAATAAGCAAGCGTGCAGTGCTTACCTACACTAGGCAATATATTTAATGTTTCATATGCACTGCCTCATTTCTTCCTGACAACTGCCTTACCTGATAGACATTTTTTAGCAGGACATTCCATTTCTGGTAGCTGCCCTTAATTGAGCAACCACCACATACCACACATCTTGCTAGGCTATACGTAGATGTAATCCCCATGAACATATGGAATGGGTTTTTTTATCTAAAATTTTTAGAAGAGGAATCTGAGAACAAAGATCCTCAATGACTAAGTTCACTTAGATAGCAAATTGCAATTAAATCTCGGGGTCTGAGCTCCCAGTGCCAGAGTTAAATAGGCTGGCCTATTCCTCAGATCCCTGCCTCCCCGTCCCACCAGAACCTATGGTCCTGGCAGGCAAGTCTCGCTGATCCTGGTTTTTGCCTCATCGGATTGTTTCTGGATGTGATATTCACGTACTGAGTGTGTCCTAAAGTACTTGCTTATAGGTTGCATGTGTTCTTCAGTTCCTTTGCTTGTTCATTCATTAATTTATTAGTTTATTCACTTGTTTGGCATCTACTTATTGGGTGTTCATTCTATGCGAAGTCTTACTCAAAAACTAGGGAAACAAGACTGGAAAAGCACAGCTTGGAAATAGACATGTAAGTAAATATGGTGCTCTAACAACAACTATAATGGAGGTAAGGAGCCCAAATTTATGAGTCAAGGTAAGCACACAGAAGCTAGCACTTGAGTTGAGACATAAAGGCCTTTCAGTCAGAAACAAGAGAATCTGGTAGGAGCCTAACGGCAAATTCAGGGAGCCCCGGTAGGTTCAGTAAATGCTGGGGGTTGGGGCAGGAGATGAGAGGGATGGCACAGATAAGGAACCAGATCACTGGGGAGCCTGCAGATCCTGCTGATGAGTGTAGGTTTTATCCCAGACATAGGATAGCTTCAGAGGAATCCTGCCATTACTCCCTTATGTAGAATTTATATTAGTAGATAGTAGAAGCTACATCTTCCAGTTTGGGAGAAGATAGTTCCCTGTCTTGCCAAGTTAATGTTACTTGTGTAATGGAGCCCCAGTACTCCTTGCTGGGTAGGAATTTATAATCTCCTAATACACTTGTTTAGCAAATGCCCAGAGACATGACGCTATCACACACTCTACCAGGTTTAAAATGTTCTTTAGTTCTTCCTCTTTAGTCAGCCTGAAACACTGAAGGATGGTTAGCTTGAAAGACTTGTCTGAAAGGCTTACTGATTCTAAATGATGTGCGAAGTTATCAGGGATTAGTGCACACACAACCATCTCTGAGCTCAGAAAGTTTACCTCCTGCGACGAATTTGATCTTCACCCCATCAATCCAATCTGCTGACTTGCTCCTTTACATGATTTCTGATTAGAGTTTGGAGATCCTTTAGAAAGTGAGAGTTACTAAAAGAAAGGACCCGGGGAAGTTTTAGGACCATGCGCCTTATTTCATGTTTCTTAATAAAACCTGATGCCTGCAAAGTTTTGTTGAATTATGTACTCCTTGAAAGAAACATCTACATTCTCTGACTTTTGCATGTTTTGGCCTGTCTCAGAATTCACTCTGTGCAATCTTTCAACAGACTGGGACACTACTCCTGGTCATCCCCATCCCATCTCTGCAGGTACCTATAGCCTGCCAAGAGTGACATAGAGCATCGTAACTCGGGATAAAAAAAGAGATGATCGATAAAAGTTTTTAATCCATGACCCGCCTCTCCTTTCAACCTCTAACTGTGGAGCCTGAGAATGGGGAATTTGCTCTTTGGAGTAAAAGATGGTAAAATACTTTCTTGCTTTTGATGTGGTCCCTCATCTTGGAGTTCATTCTTTCTTTAAACATCCTTAAATGTGGCTTGGTAATTTTACTTTCTTATGCAACCTAAGTACAAGCAAAAAGGTGCTTGGGGTGCTCCAAGTGTTTGATCCTAAGCTTTCATGTGGCCTCCTGCCTCTCCTTGCACTGGCAGGAGATGAAAGGAAACCAGCTGTTTTCTTATTAAAGATCAAGGTGATCAGGATGGCGACTCAGGACCTAGCCATGATCGCTGCAGGGAGAGCAGAGGCTGGGCAATGTTTTCCCATTAGGCACAGTATGTCAGATTCGTGTAGCCATCAGAAAGTGTTATTTCATTTCATGCCTATTTGTGATTTCTTTGTTGCTGTTGTTGCCGGGTTTAAATTCCTGGCATCACACTCAGTAAACTGAATGAGGCTATTATTAGTATCCCAATTGTAAGAGAAGAGCTAATATCTCAGATTCTTACTATGTTTCTGTGTTGTTCTTCACACCCTTATTTTTATCCTCACAATAATACTATGACATAGAAGGTGTTATTTCCATTTTACAGAAGAGAAAATCGAGACACGAGAGTTTAAGTAACTTGTGTAGATTATATTGCTCATAAATGTTAGTGGAGCTGGGATTTAAACCCAAGCAACCATGCCAGGACTACAGTGAGATCAGAGAGGTTCCCAAGGGCACAAAATTTAAGGAAGTACTCCCTCACAGTCTCCAATAAGCTCAAACCTGAGAGTGAGTGCCTCCTTAAATCAGGTACCCAGGGTAGTCTTTGTTGCTTGCCATACCCTAGATCCAGCTTGCTCTGGAGCCTGAGTAGTGTTAAACCTCACGCATACTGCTTCTCTGGTTCTCACCCTTATGGATCAGAGGCAGCTGTCAATGGGGAAGCAGATTAAACAAACCATGAGAGGATTTGTAGGTGCTAAAGAGACCAGCAGAGATGGAGCCCAAAGTAGGATTTCTCCTTGCTCTTGGCTGGGCATTCTTCTCTTGCACTATGTCCCTCCCATTCTTCTCTTTTAATGGCTTTGTCTCAACTCAGCCTTCTCCAATACAGAGGGCAATGAAGATATTCTTCATTTGAGAGGTAAATTTCTGCCTCCTATAGAGAAAACATTAGAGCAGCAACACAGAGTATGGTGTGTACTCAGTTAAGCCTTGTTTCATTTTGTCAAGTCCAGACACACCCTGAGATGTATGTTGATGTCAAAGGTAACCCAAGGATACATATCTATGAGGAATCTCAGGGTCTTAGAACAGGATTTGATGAAGAGAAGTCAAATACATCAGAGAAAAGGAAATTGTAGGGGATAGTCCAGGATCCCAGGGTAATCATGAAAAACTCACCTTCACCAAATACCCTGTACTCTTGAAAATCTTTTAGTACACTTGGTAAGTTTTGAATAGACTGGACTTTTCTGGTTTGCTGACAAATGGCAAAGTAATTATTATATCATTAGGACAAAGAGGTCCTTCTATTCAGTCCTATACAACCTGATATTTAAAAAAATCACTGGAATTATGGACTGATAATGTGAGAACTATCCCTGGTACCCTGCAGTGATGGGTCAACCCACTCTTTGTCTCAATGGGGCATGGAATAAGCACCTATGAACTTATGAGCATATGTGGAGGAGAGCCAGCAGCAACTGAGACCATAGTTGAGATGAAGGGAGGTGAATGTTATGATCTGGTAGCTTTTTTGAACTTCTCATCATCACACTAGAAAGTTCCTGGTCAACAGTCTTTTATCAGTGAAATCCCAGCAGATTGGATGATGATAGTTTCTCCTTTTTTATAGATATCGTGCCAACAGAGCCATGTGGGAAGACCACACTAAATGAACAAGTCAAATCACTATGGCTAGTAAAGAACTGGGCCATGAATGAGTAGCACTTGCCTCTTTGATTAGGTTCATAAATCTGGGTCCAAGGCGCCATGGCTTGTGTCGATGACACTGTAAGGAGCTGACAGTCAGCTGGGAAGCCCGATGGGAGGCAATGGCCACCATGTACACTGCATCATACATCAGAGCTGCTTCAGTCTGTGGAAGAAAACACACACCACATCTTCAATTCCACCTTTGTTTCCCTTCCTTTACCTGCATAATCATTCTACCTGCTTCCTTATCTCCTATTTGTCTGATCTCAACAACTATTTATTCTCCAGCTGAACAGTTTTCACTCTCTGATAGCTATTTTTCTCTAAAATAATACCTCATACTCCACAGTAAATTGGAGTGATAGCTCTGCTTTGTTTTGAGTTCTTAAAAAAAAAACAAAAACACCTCACATCAGCCACAAAAGACTTGATTCAGGGAAAAAACATTTTTGGAGCACTTTCTATGTTAAGCATGGTGTTAAGATCAACTACATTGAGTTAGAAGCTACTAAACCTCAACATTTCAATATCAGATTTTGTTTCTCAGGACTTATACCTATTTATACATTTATTTACTTGTTTCTATTTGGTGGAAAGAAACAGATGCTAACAAAGCTAATAGGTAATTTCCAAATAGGGATACTTTGTTGGTCACTTCCACTTACCGGAGTCAAGAAGGTTTGAGTTGTGGAATCAAATCCAACAGCACATTGTGGAAGACCTTTTGACCACAGACCTGTGTAACTTGCGTGGAATATGCCTACTTTTGTCAGCATTTGCTTTTTGATAGAGAGTGTAAGTAGTCCTTGCTTTTGGGCATTGAGCATCTCATTCTTCCCCTCCTCATGAAATTTCTCTCATTTGCAAAATTTCACACAAAACTGCTAGCATTTTATAAAAAGTATTGCTCTATGGTTTTCTTCAAGGATAACATTGTATAATACCTTCACATTTTAGTTGAGGATTTTCACTGGAACTTCATTTGAAATTCTCAACAATCTCCCCAAATCAACAGAACAGATAGATAAAACTACTTAGGTAGAAAAACTGACCCCCAGACAGGATATTGACTTGTGTAGGGTCCTACATATAACCGGTAATTGGTAGAGTTAAATCAAAGATCATTATGTTTGTTTGTTTGTTTTTTCCCCCAGAAATCTGTTGATTCACTCACACAACATTTACTATGCACTTATTGAGAGCATGTCTTAATGGAAGTGGAAAGAGAGGGTAAGGGTTACTACATCTCACACTTTATCCATCTGTGAGTCCAGAGTTTATCCCCACTTTAAATCTATATCCTGTGCAATCTCTATCTTTGCATTTTCCATATGCATTTATGGTGACAGCAGTTTCTCAATAAGAACATGAGTTTTGTGAATGCAGAAATGTTCCACTTCATTCTTTAGTTGATAACACAGTTACTGGCACATAAATGATATTTAAAGTTGTTTAATAAATGTTTGCTGAAGGAACTAATGTTATTTCATGCCTCAAAATAAAATACGTTTTTATGAGAACTGTATAATCCCATGGTTTTAAGATGTACTTCTAAGATAAATTGTTTCACTTATATGATTGACATATAGAAGTTAGGTTGGTGGTGGTGGTGATTGTTAAAGCTTAAAAGAATGTTTTAATCATTTCCGCTCAAATCTGGTATACAATCAGTTTCATAGATGAGAAAACTGAGGCTCAGGAAAATTAGGTGATTAGGCCAAGGCCACTCTGCTAATCAGCTGCCTGGCCAGGGTTTGAACCCATGACTATCTGATTCTAGCACCCATGTTCTTCACTACTCTGCTATGCTAATTTGGTGTAATTGAAGGAGAGTAATCCATTGGCAGAATGAGACTTTTTGAAACTCAATCAATAATAATAGAGACTTTTATCAAGTTCTTATTATACGTCGGGTACTTCTCTAAATACTTTGCAAACTCTGTATCTTCACCATAACCTTTACTCCTTTATGGGTAAAGATATGACCAGGTTAAATGGCGTCCCCAAACTAGCGGTGCGAAGATCAAGATTCAAACCCGGGAATTTGGTGCTAGGATTTATGTTCTCAACCATGAAGCTGAGCTGCCTCTGAAGCAAATATTTGTCTGATGACTTAATAATTACAGTAATAGCTCAATTATGGTGACTGTTCACGGACAACTTACTACACACCAGGCATTATAAGCATTCTACACATGTCATCACCTTAAATTATTGAAACGATGCCTTTAAATAGGTATTGTCCCCATTTTGCCAACAGGAAAATAGAGACGGGAGAAGGAACTTTAGGAAATAACTTTGATAACTTGCCTAACTTACTAGGCAAGTGAGAATTTCAAAGCAGGATGTAAACTTAGATTTTGGAACTCATGCCCTTAATTGCTATCCTATTGGGATCTGGACCATTTTAGCAGTGGAATATACTTTTTTACCAAATTTGTATGTTTATTCACTAATTCACTAATTGAAAGATTTGATAGAGAAGTGTGAGGAGTGAAGTTTTGATCGAGCTTTTCCATAAGCTGGGCTTAGGAAGGATTTTGACTTTCTTTGTTAAGGCTGCCTCCACACTGGGCTGGGTAATAACATGACTCAAAACAATGGGCCTGATCAGTCCTTTTCAAATTCAAAGAAGAAAACCATTTATTCTAAAACCACACTTCCCTTTGACATGCAATGTTTTCTTAGATGGAGGAGACATGTCTCTACTTATTTTATAGCACTAATAAACCACCCCTGAATTTCCTTCCCTTCTTAGTTCTGTGCTGGAGGCTAGCTTACTGAGCAGCAACTCTCGAGTCATTTTAGGTAAATATAAAAGAAATTGGCCTGTGCTTCAGATTTTATTTTTCTGAAGGCGTTTATGTTCACATTTTATTTATATCAAAAGCCTGGATGAAACCACATTACTCAGTGCCCCTAAGAAAATCTCTTTACCACAACATGGATCATGAAACAAGCATATGAAAAGCAGTCTCACACCATGTTTTGGTTATCAAAACAGTGGGCAATAAAGGGTTAACTCAGCAGGACTGGAGTGCTCACACTCTATGTATTCCAAAGAAAGGACTGGCTTTTGACTAGCTTCTGGGAGATAATGTCCGAAACCTTGGACTGTCCTGCCTGATCACAGTGTTTCTGTATTCTTTGGGGTAATGGGCGATGCTAGACAGTTTAACAATGTGATTTATGGTGAATGCCTATTTTTGTTCATCTGGGGCCCTGGGCCATGCTGTATCAGTTTACCCTCTGGAAAGGCTAGAGACTGAGTAAGGTCAGCGATGGGATGTTCTATGCCTATGTGACTGACTGTAGAGATTCTCTACATTGCTGTAGCGATTGAAGTACTGTCAATGCAAATTTCCTGGGAGAGGACCACTAATGGTTCCCACATAGTTTCTCCTGGACTTTGCCCTTTGCAACCTTTTCCTTTGCTGATTTTAATCTATATCCTTTTGCTGTAATAAACTGTCAACTAGGAGTTTAGCAGCTCTTCTGATTTCTGTGAGTCCTTCTACCAAATCATCAAACCTGAATGTGGTCTTGGGGATCCCAACGCAATCCAGTGAGATGTGGCCCCTTAGGAATGAGGACTAACAGCAGGATATGGCTTTATAGACTCCTTACATTTTGCTGTCTTCCTGGTATGCAACATTGTTGGAAAAAACTGGAGGAGATTGGAGTTCTGAAGGAAGAACTTAGTCTTTGTGGAGCAAATGGGCAAAAAGTATAGATTTCCCATCTTCTCTGGAAATTCAGAAATATTCACTAACCTGATATGGATGGACAAGGCAGTTTTCTAAAAGAGAAGCTTTCCCAAATAACACCCTTCCCCGTCATTTCCTAAATTTACTCTCTCACTGATTCCTCTATTAAAATCCTAATATCTCACCACAGCATAGAGCTAGCAGGAATTTGTCTCTTAGTATGAATTAGCTAGTTTCCTTTGTGGGGGTGGATGCTGCCGGGGAGCCAAAGTGGTGGGAGAGGCAGTGAACATCCTGAGCATCCAGAATGCTGGCAAGAGCAACCCACAAGTAAACTGGGGTTTGAAAATGGTCTGGGGAAGGTAGCAAAGATATAATCAAGTACTCACAATCTAGAAATTCAGTAATTAGGGCAGCAACTCTAGAAAATCCAGTGAAACGTGGCACAGAGGTTGGCATATTATAATTTCAATATGCATTTTTCAGCTTTTGAGAGACACAGTGAGAAATTGGGAAAAGAGGACCATATGTGGAGTTGGAAAGCATACCTGGGTGATTCCCCTGGTCACACAAGGTCACACAGGTCCCCGGCAAGGAGCTATCTTGGGCTACATGCACAAGCCAAGAAATACATCTCTTGTAAACAAGTAAGGATTCTGCCTCTGCATTTTAGAATGTCTTTTGTCCCTTTATTCACTACAAACTGGTGTAGAAGCAGGTACCATCCAGGAAAATTCAATTCTATGTCCTGGAGGTTTTGTATATATTATCTAATTTAATCTGTAAAGTAACACTGTAAAGGATTATTACACAGATTTACAGATAAGCAAGCGGCTCAGAGAAGCTACATAACCTAGTCAAGTCATTTATCTATTCAGGGGACATAGCCAGTACTTAATCTAGGCTTTCCTCATCTGCAAGATCTTGCTTTTTCCATAGAATTCCACAGCCTGTTGTCTTTCATCACGGGATCAGCAGTGGACACTCAGGTGGACACTCAAAGGTGCCTCCCTCCTGGATCATGATTATAGGAAATGCTCACATGTAACATAAGCCTACTGACTGAACTTGATGCTGTGAATGCATTTGAAGAACTGGGAAGGCCAATGACAGATCAAAGTTGTGTTGTTTCTATGATTCCCGTGCACTATTGAATCACACACAATTTTTGCTCACAATCAGAGAGGAATCCACCTAAAAATGGGCCACTCCATTATCCCAGTCTATCCAAAAGCCAGTAGATTGAATCAGCCCAAGTGCTAAGAGAAATTTAAATGTAGTGAAAAGAAATGAAGTAGATTTTGTAAAATTACTCCAAACTTCTATTGAGTTAACACTTCAGTTGATAAAACACTTTCTTTTTTTAATCTCAGGATATTTTAAATAACGAGTTTCACTATTTTTGAACTCTATTGACTCAGTACCAGGTTTCTTAATTAACCCAATTTTGACCCTATTTTTAAAGTCAATATTTTTTTTCGTTAATTAGATCTATGCATCTTAAGTCTGGAGTCAAAATTTTTCAGCTTGGACATGATTTTCAGATTTGGATATGTTTTGACATATATAATATTATTTGAAGATATTATTAGTGTATGATGTTCTAAGAAATTTTTAATAGTTAAAAATATGAAAGAGGAAATTACATAAGTAGGTGGAAGTAAAAACACATGGGTATTTTTAAACATATTTTAAAAAATTTCTAAATTATATATTCATACAAACATCTGTATATGTATGTAGCACACACAAAAATATAACTATAAAAGGCAACAGGAAAATTCGCCTTGGAGTGTAGTGGTATATAATGCATATGATTTCAGAGAACACAACTCTATTCTAGTAATGGCATTACTTAAATATAAATAGCTGTTAGTCTACTTCAGGATAATCTTTATCTTCACTACGCATGCCTATTTTTTATTTATAGGAACTCTCTTTGGACTTTTACAGACTTATTTCAGGGCTATATGAATGTTTTTCATGTAACATCTTGGTCTTAGCAGAAGCTCAATTCCTATTTATTTAGCATTAGTTCCCTTATTAGATACATATTTATTGAAAGCCTGCTTTGTTCCGGGGCTTTTCTAGTGCTGGGGATAAAGCAGATCACAAAAAGACAAAGCCTCTGTCCTCATGGAGTTTATGTTCTTATAGGGGAAGGCACGAAGCAAACAAATCGATATATAGCATATGAGGTCATAGGGCTACAGGGCGAAGGAAAGCAGGCCATGGGAGAGAGAATAACAGGCCTCTCTGCTGAAATGCATTTAAACAAATGGGAACAGGGGAGGGTTTTAGGCAGTGAGAACCACAAATGCTACAGACACAAGAAAGAGTGAACCATGAGATCTGAGGAATACAGACCCCGTGGAACTGAAACCACGGGGCTTTTCATCAGGAAGGTAGGGAAGAAAATGGTTTGAGTACAGAGGCAACCTGAGAACAAAGATTTGTTAGATCTGGGCCCTGGCTTGGGGACACGGCATGTGCTCTCTTGACTCAGAGATTAGTCCACTGGATACTTTTAAACCTACCCTTTAAACTCGCTATAACTCAGTTTCCACATCCCCAAATTGGCCCCCTTTACTAGAAGCCAAAAGGAAACCATGAACTGCAAAATGGCCTCTTCGAGTAAATAAAGGTCAATATTACTTCATGGGATCAATTTCAAACTATATATTTTTTCTTTTTATTGTGTCTTTATGAGATGATGGATGCTAACTAAACTTATTGCAATTATCATTTCATAATATATGTAAGTCAATCTGTTATGCTGTGTACCTTAAACTTATACAATGAAGTACATCAATTCTATCTCAGTAAAACTGGGGGAAAACCAATCTGCATGGGATCCGACTTCGAGTGGGTGCTGTGTTCTACCATTTTTTTTGACTAGTATAGATATGACCTGATATATCTACTCTCCCCACATTTAGTGCCCTGGTGAGCCCTTCTCTTCTGCTCTGATAAATCTCCATTTCCTTTTTTATAGTTTATAATAACAACAACAAGAGCAACAACAAAGACTAGAAATCCTTTTCTTAGGTGAGATGACAGTAGTAAACTTTAGGCAAAACGGGACCTCTTCCATCCATCGGGACTTGGCTCCACCATGCTTTCTGCCCATGGGACTGCCATTTGTCCAGGCCACTGGCAGCAGTCCTGGGGGAGTAGCAGAACCCCATGCCTGGCCTGAGTTGGGGTGACTTGCGTGGCTCTATCCTTGTTCAATGATTTTCCTCATCTCAGTCAATATGTACAAACTGTCCTGTCAGCTAAGTATAATTGAATGTAATAGATGCTTTTTTTGGTAAATTAAGCCATTCTTGTGATGAATATTTAATGTTTGGCATGAATCCACATGCTGTGTTAACAGATCCAAACTGTAACTTTTTTAGTGGTATATACCAAGGACAGGTAACAATTATTGGAGATCTCAGCCTGTGGTAGAAATCTCACTGGGAGGCAAGGTAGGTGGACAGAGGGTTTGAGCCATATTTGAACTCACTGGAATTACAAATCCAAGAGGAAGAAGAGAGAAACAGGTGTATTAGCATACCTCTCTGTCTCTGACTCTTTTTTTCTCTCTCTCTAGCTTGCCCCCCTCCTTTTCAGAAGGTCTAGTATTTCCCTAGATATTCTTTACTTGTTCCTATTCAAAGCAATGTTTCAAATCACCCAAGGCTCATTTGTATCAAGATCCTTTCCATCATTATCTCTCAGAATACTTTGTATTCTTTAAGAGTTATTTCAGGGCGCCTGGGTGGCTCAGTTGTTTAAGTGACTGCCTTCGGCTCAGGTCATGATCCTGGAGTCTCGGGATCGAGTCCCGCATCGGGCTCCCTGCTCGGCGGCGAGTCTGCTTCTCCCTCTGACCCTCCTCCCTCTCATTCTCTCTGTCTCAAATAAATAAATAAATAAATCTTAAAAAAAAAAAAAGAGTTATTTCAGGTTGGAAAAATAGGGAGGGGCGCCTGGGTGGCACAGTCGTTAAGTGTCTGCCTTCAGCTCAGCTCATGATCCCAGGGTCTTGGGATCGAGCCCCGCATCAGGCTCCCTGCTCCTCGGGAAGCCTGCTTCTCCCTCTCCTGCTCCCCCTGCTTGTGTTCCCTCTCTGGCTGTCTTTCTCTCTGTCAAATAAATAAAACCTTTAAGAAAAAAATAAGAAAAACAGTCAGGGAGCTTGAACATGGAATCATCCAGAACCACTTAATTAATTCATTTATTTTTTTCTATTCATTTGTTTCTCATAAAAAATGGTGGAAAAAGAAAAGAAATCCCAAGTTCATTTCTCTGCAAGATGATCAGTTATCGGTAAATTGCATCTTAAAAGCAAGAGTGCTTCTCGGAGGATGGGAACAGAGAATGAAATACTTTGCCAATTTCAAATGCTATTACCTGCCCACATTCCCAGTATCTTTCCCTTTAGATGACACGATTCCTACATAGAAAGCTTTTAAAAAAAATTTCCTGCTCTTTTCTTCATCATGCAGGGAGCTTCATTAGAGAAATAAAGCTACGGTAGGTGCGTTTGACAACAAAAGACAACTGATGTTAGTGAGAAGCTCTCTGATGAGGCAGTTTGCAATTTATCTGTTCAGCAGAGTACCTCTCCCCTGTCAGGAGGTGGGCCTGGCATCTGCTTTGAGAGGAACACATGGCTGGTGTGAATTACTGTCAATGTCTGCAAAGGTGTTCCTGTGCATATCCAGGCAGGAAGAATGTGAACACACCAACAGTATGTGAATCTGGCGTTTTTCCACGTGTGCACCGCTCGCTGAGATGCGGCAGAAATGAGGAAGGCAAACTGGTTCTGCATCACTTTTGTAGGCAGCTTGCTCCTCTTCTCCTTGCCCCCCTTCCCAAGGCCACATTCCCAGGCCTAAAACTCTCTCCACTCAGCCTTGCTTTGGTTTCTTATTTGTCTCCATTTGGCTGACAGTGATGGCTACTCCTGTTAACTTTTTTTTTTTTTTTAGTCAAAGGCACGTTCAGTCAGAAAGCTGAAAGCAGCAGTTTTTGATAGTAGCCCTGCATAGGCTTTCAAATTACCTAAAAAGTTTACTCCTTCTTTTTTCATTCAAGTCAAGGCACAGGTTATAATACTTTCACTCACACTATAGAAGTCATATGAGATTCTTAACCTAACCCCTAAAGGAATGCAAACATCATCTCAAATGATTTTATTTTAAGACTACTTACTGTCATCATGCCATCCAAGAGGCCAGTCTCCGGCCTGGGGGGGGCCTGCAGTCTCTCCATGGACCACTTCTCAATGATGGAGGACACGTGAGGGTTGTCAATATTAAGCAGCCGAAACCCAGTCATGTTTACACCACTGTACCTATAGAGTTCCAGATCTAAAGCAAATAAGTCCTGCACAGTATTAAAAATGACAAAAGAAGAAAGAGTTAACATTTGCAATGTTCTTTATGCAAAACAGAATAATGATTGCAGAAGCAACAGGTAGATTAAAACTAAAATAGCTGTCCTCACACTGCTTCATGAAAGAACATTTCCCATTGTTCTTCCCTTGCACGCTGCCTGAGAAACTCTAAGAGTGAGCAGTTTACATTTTCCTCTATTTTTTGCAATACTATCAGAATTTGGATAAATCAGGAAGAGGAATTTGGCTGTTAATAATTAGTATGCCCTTGGGCACAGGTTACAATATTCTGAGAAGTTAGAGTTCTGTTTCTAGAATATAGCATTTGGGGAGTTGGAAGGAATCTCTGTGCGCATTTGGTCCAATGCTTTTATTTTACAGATGAAGACTCTGAAGTTCTGAGTGGTGATGTGACCAGTCCAAGGATGACCCAATTATCAGTGGCAGTACTGCCTCAGATCTTGTAAAGGAGATGAAATTTGAACTTGCATATGCATGTGATAGGAAGATCACTTCCAGCAGGAAAAAAATACCATTTCCTGGCTCATTGACCCGTGCCCCATACAATGAGGGCATGAAGAACGTTCACTGGACGCAAGCTCTGAGTAAGAAGTGAAGGGTTCTCTTCAGAGAATAAACTGGAGCATAGGGTTGTGTGAACACGAGTATCATAACAGTAGAACTAATTCCCTTTCAGACAATGTTTCAGGAAGAAAAGTTTAACCCACTCGTGTTTTCCATTACAGATGAGGCTGAGTGTAATCCAGAGGTTTATGTTGATGCATATTTATTTTGTTAAAGATTTTATTTACTTATTTATTTATTTTTATTTGACAGAGAGAGAGAGAGAGCGCATGAGTGGTGGGGGTGGAGGGGAGGGACAGAGGGAGAGAGAGAGAAGCAGACTCCCTGCTGAGCAGAGAGCCTGACTAGGACCCTGGGATCATGACCTGAGCTGAAGGCAGATGCTTAACCGACTTGCCCTTGTTGATTCATATTTAAAATGATATAAAATGTCAACTTTCTTCTTGTGAAGAAAGGTTTGACTCTAACATATGTCATTAAAAATATCTCACATTTAGAATAAACCAAACTTTCATAACATTTAACAGGAAAAAAAAAACAGAAAAACTTCCATAAAAACTTCCTAACAGTGTAACTCTTTTATGGAAGTGCAATGCAAGTTAGTATATGATCAGTGATGGCTGTGGTTCCTAAGGAGAAGTAGCTTCAGAAACACCTCATGATCTGTATTTGCAGAAGATATGCACAGATTTGTTCTTTTGAATAATTCTTTACACTGCTATCCTTTCCCAAGATAATGTTGGATTCGACTGTAGAGCTTTAGGAGGGCAGATCTGTGCTTCTGGCTCAGTATCAGAAAAAGAGTACTGCCTTCTCAAGTGTTATATTTTCCCCCCTCGTACTACATAACTTTCTTTCTTCTTTAAGTTTTATCAATGCTCATGGGCAAGAATGGTAAAAATATAAAAAGCAAAACATGGCAGAATGCAGATAAAACCAAAGGAAAATGCTTAACGAAGTAAATTTAAAGAATAAGACCCTAAAAAGAATGATTTCCTTTAACATGCTCAATGAATGGAAAGAAAACTACTCAAACTACAAGAAGTCAGAAAATTCCAGGATGCATATGGTATCCCTCATGGACTCCACAGTACATAATGCGGTGTGTTAAAATGAATACTATACACAGGTGCAAAATTAGGTTGACCTACAAACTGAGGTTCATATGCAATATAGAATATGGAAAGTCCAGGGTCTGATTTTTAACATCTGCTTGTCAGTGAAGAATGAAAAAAGAAGACTGTGAGGGCAAGTTGTTTGTTCCCAAATTGTCCCCTTGAAGACCAGACTTTTCAGGCTTCATTGTTCAAATTCTTTCTCAAATTTCAACAAAACCAGCTCTTAGGAGTGTGCACAGCCAGGGATGATAGAAAGTTCTGAGGCAGGTGTCCATGCTGCCTTGAGCAGAACCCAGGTGTTCACGGTGATGGGGGAAGGGCTGTAGTTGTGACCTAAGATGCTTTGGAGTTCTCAAGGGTTTCTTCAACTGTTCTGACAGAAGCTCTAATTAGGATGTCAATGATGGGAGGGACGATCATGGAAACTTTAGTTCAAGGTTTTCTGCCCTGCATCCCACTCCCTTGCCCCAAGCTCTGAACAGTGATGATTTTGGCACCTGCCCCAGTACATTGGTCTCACGATGTCCACTGTATCCTCATGCTTCCTGAGATACTTGAGTGAGGAGTGGAATTCACTGCTTCCATCAATAGTATGTATTCAAGGACAGCTGCCTGCTTCCCGTTCCAAATTCTTTTATTTCCCTTACTCACCAGCTTACCTTGCCAGTTTCATTTGGTAAAATGTTACTCTTAGGAAATTTCCCAGAACCTGGGTAGGTTTCACTGGACACACTGTTACAGATTAACAAAGAAAATTGGTTTTGTGTTTTCTTCTCCTGCGAGAAAGTGGAGTGTGTGCGCGCACGTGTGTGTGTGTGTGTGTGTGTGTGTGTGTGTGTGATTTTTAAAATTGAATGAGAGCTATCACATCATTTTGATGTGTTAAATGCCCTGAATCATTCTCCCTTGATATGATAATCTCAAAATTTAGGATGTTATGGTTTCTTTTGAATTTCTTAGGCTCAGAACCATGATTTTTTTTTTTTTTTTTAATGGTGAAAAATGTTCGCTGTGCAAAGCATCTCCCATGCTCCTTTTCTTGATGATCTTCAAAACACCTGGTCGGTGACCCCTGGCTAACCTAGCTATCTACTGGACACAAGCAAGTAAATCACAAAGGATCAAAAAAGCCAAGATACACTTTAGTGTGCCTTCTAATGTATGTAGAAAATGTAGATGATTCTTCTTTTTGACTAGTTTGCACTTTGACAGTTCCTATTTAATGAAAGTATCATTTTAATCCCTTTCCAGATGCACATGCACTGATGCTAGTTAAAAAAAGAAAAGAAAGAAAGAACCTGCTGTTCAGCATTTCTGGATTTACAGGATTCTTAGGAAAGTAAGATAAATCTCCATGACACTATCCTGCCTCTGACACTGGTGGGGCTGATTTTTGAAATAACTGGAGATGTTTCCTATAACATAGAATTCATTTCCACCTGAAGTGCTTACCAGGGTTGTGAAAAAGTAGTGATAGTACTCAGTCATCATGCCCATGAACAGAATCTGCAAAAGAGAAATAAGGGGAAAGACTCAGAAACAGAATTATAATAAGAAATAGATCATTAGCTAGGAAATTGCAATAGCTTGAGGACATAGAGCAGGAAGGGGCTTTGGAAATCCACAGATTCAGCAGATCAGAAACCTGAGACAGATCAGTGGCTGATGGGGAGCTGATGTGGGCTGATGAGGATCCAGGCCATTAACCTCCATCCAGTGTTCTTTCATTAGACGATCTTTCATATGTTCGATCTTCATTGAAGTGGTAGGTCTAATTTAAATGTAAAAAAATTAAAAATAGCTTATGCGCAACAAATTTAATATTTGGATCCGACCTTAATAACAGTGTTTTGCTGTCCTTATTGACTAAGTGTCTGAGTAACCCTATGCTTAGATAGATATTTTATTGATCTCCTTAGCTTTAATACCTATCATAGTGCCTCAGAGAAGAACTCATTAAATGTTGAATTGCAATACTGGTATGTAGATATATTTAAAAGAGGTTTTATACATATGCATATCTCTGAAGCCTTTCTCTCTACTGCTTTCCCATCTTATCCCACAGTATAAGTAGGGGAAAAGAGGATTTGTTTATAGATAGAAGGATGGGGACTCTTCTTGTACAAATGTCACACTGCGTCTTAATTTTGATCCTCAGTTACCTCTTGGGATCTTGACAGTTCCAGACATTCTGTGAGTATTGTTTTTACCTGGTAGGGAAGGGGGAAAAGGAGTGAAGAGAAAGGACAACGGTTCTAGGTAGAGTAAGTTTATTAAAATGTGATTTAGATTCCTGGAAATGGTGTCCACTGAGAAGAAACAGTTGCAAATGATTTGGAGATAAGGAAAGGTTTCTGTATCTTCTAAATCAAGGGTATCACCTTCCTTGGGTGGGGGGAGGTCAGCAAAGGACTATTTGGGTGCCATTTCTTGGTATTTGTATAGAAATAAACAGAGAAGTCTCAGAAATAAAATTTCCAAGGCAGTTTTCCCCACAACTCTGATAAACCCTGAATGCAAATGAGAATCCCCTCTGGAAGTTTTAAAATCAGATATTCTTCGACTCCATCACAGAGACATCCTGAACTGGAATCCTCAGAGAAGAGCCTGGGTTTCTGTATTTCACAGCAGTGGTTGAGAAACACACTCCATGGAAAACATGTCCACTCACACCAAAGAACAGGCTTTCATAACTTCAACTGAAGAGATGGATTGAAAGGTCTCAGGAAAGACAACAGCGTGTTATCAGAGGTCCTAGAAAGTGCCTAAGATATGTAAACTCGAATGATTTTGCGTGAGAAGGGATACAGAATGAAGAGGGTATTCCATGACAGCACAGGACACACCAATCCTGCACTTCTTTTGCCCTCTCTGCTAATGTGGAGACCAGAGGAATTTTAAAAAGGGTAGAATTGCTTTAGGGCCATCAATAACGTTTAAAGCCATGCATAGTGAGGTCTTGTTAGCTGGTCTCTTATATCATTGGAGCATAAGGAGCTAACCTGCTGGGGTCAGTCAGGAATCCAATTTTTCACTTTAGTCATTAGATAGTGTAATTGCAGTCAAGACTACCTCTTCAGAGAGGACGGGGCAAATTTTATGTCAAGATAGAGGGCTAGACACTAAGATTTAAAATATTGTTTCTGAAACTGAAAAAGAAACAAAAAGGCACCTGAATTTTTAGCTTTTCACTTGGGCTGACTTTTCTTTTAAAATTTGGTTATGGAGACATTTGGGCACCAGTTGAGGGCATAGGCTTCTCCCCCGCTTTTTAAGCAACCATTCAACTAATCCTTATTATTTTTTAACTCCTGGAGGCAAATATTCGTTTGATATACGAATCAACGTATATTGATTCGTATCAGTTCAATACGAATTGTGTAATGTTACTGAAAGGGCTAGATTTTTTACTGTCTATCAGTCTAAGTCAATGATATGAGGTCAAGGGTTATTTAATAAGAATAATTCTGGTAAGAAACAACCATTATTAAAAGAACATATTAGTGGGGGCGCCTGCGTGGCTCCGTCGTTAAGCGTCTGCCTTCGGCTCAGGTCATAGTCCCAGGGTCCTGTTATCGAGCCCCACATCGGGCTCCCTGCTCCACGGGAAGCCTGCTTTGATATACCTCTTATTTAATGTTAGAAAAAAGTTATGAAGATGCAGTGAATATTCAGCTAACAGGTCTACTTTTATTGCAGAAAGAACCCTTGGGTCCTCTGAGTATGCCTTTCATTTAGCACACTAGAAAAATCTCTGTTCTTGACTTTCCTGCCTGGTGCCTGGGTCAGTGCCTCCTGGTTCTTCCCTTAATATCTTAGAAATGGTAATTAAGAAACAGGTAGAGTCCAGCAACCCTCAGTTTTTTTCCTGAGATTAAGAATTCCTCAAAAACTAATGATGTAATGTATGGTGATTAACATAACAATAAAGAAAGAAAGAAAGAAACGGGTAGAGTCATGAATCATTCACCTGCCACCTTTGTGGACTCTCTAGGACACAGGTGAATGAAAAGCTTCTGGGTAAGAATAAAGCCAGTAGCACCAAAAGTGATGATTTGAAAACAACTGTCCGTGTGAGAGTCTGTGGACTGGTTGGGGCCAGCATCTCTGTTGTTTAATAGTAGTATATTTTATAAATGAAAGTACTGCATTCACATGGCGATTTTCTCTCTGCACGTTGGTATTTCAACTAAAAGTCATTAGGGATTAAGAAAATGTCACATCAAGATAAATGTCAGTTTTTCAAATAAAAAAGTATAGTCATGATATGGGGAGTTTTCTGATCTTTGCAAAACTGACTTTTTCCTTAGAAAAACTACCTTCTTTGAATTTTGATAGTGTACTTGTCTGCCAGACTAAGCGGGAGGTGCTGACCCAGGCAATGTATACTTTGCCAAGGCAGTCTTGCTAGAAACTAGCTCTGGCTATCTTTAGATCATTTTTTAATAGCACAAAACACATCACATCACACACACTAATGCGTAGTAAGTGGGGCCGTCAATACTATTCATATTGATGGGATATTATCCTTCATTGCTTCCACTAATATGTTCTTTTAAGATTTTTTTTTTTTTCTTATTTGACAGAGAGAGATACAGTGAGAGAGGGAACACAAGCAGGGGGGAGTGGGAGAGGGAGAAGCAGGCTTCCCGCAGAGCAGGGAGCCCGATGCGGGGCTCGATCCCAGGACCCTGGGACTATGACCTGAGCCGAAGGCAGACGCTTAACGACGGAGCCATGCAGGCGCCCCCACTAATATGTTCTTTTAATAATGGTTGTTTCTTACCAGAATTATTCTTATTAAATAACCCTTGACCTTATATCATTGACTTAGATTGATAGACAGTAAAAAATCTAGCCCTTTCAATAACATTACATATCTATAAGAGGGATAATACTGAGTATCTACTACTCTTCTTGATCTTAGAAGACCCATAGTTTAGACATAATTTGTACCATTGCCAATTTCCCAGCTGGAAGGACAAATGGCAGGATTGCATTTCCTGCCCCCTTGTGTTTGGGTGGGGCCATGTGCTGGTTTTGGCCAAGGAGGAAGGAAAGATACTGACATAGGGCCATCCTCTAGAGATTTCACCCTGATAGATGACTAATGAGGTTATGAGGGCCGTAGCAAGCTGTTTTTGTTCTGAATAGATACAGTTTTCTGTTTCATGAGTATTGCAAGGCATGTAAATGCTCTTTTTATGACTTTGTTTTGAATGCTGGAGAGTTGAAGGTGAAAATTGTGGGTTTTCCTTTAGCAACAAGAATACAAGGTATATATTCTATGTGTGCCAATGCCATTCAGCTTTGTTTTTCTTATCTAATTTCCCCCCTTCTTTCCAACCCCTCTCCTTTTTTTAAAAAAAGTATTTATCACTTTGTTTCAAGTGTATTTCCTAGGCTGAGTTAATTCCTTGTGCAATAAATATATAGCACATAATAAATAATCATGGTTAGGAGAAGCTGAGAGATCTTTTTCTCATAAAGAGGGATGAACTGTTCAGATCTCATGTAGCTGGGCTGGGTTAGAGTAGCAAAAAAGGCCTCCAATAAAATAATATTCAGAGTTAATCATACTCTATGTTCCTGCAGAATCAATTATAAGAACTCAAAAGAGACTGTGATGGTTAATTTTATGTGTTAACTTGACCAAGCCAATGGGTGCCCAGATTAAACATTATTTCTGGATGTGTCTGTGAGGGTATTTCCAGATGAGATAAACATTTGAATTGGTAACTCAGCAAAGCAGATGACCCCCCAGTGTGGTGGGCATCATCCAGTCCACTGAGACCCTGAATAGAACAGAAATGCAAAGGAAGGAGGAATGCATCCTTTTTCTTCCTGCCTGACTGCCTGAGCTGGAACTTTGCTTTTCTCCTACTCTTGGACTAAGATTTTCACCACTGGCTCTTCTGGTTCTCAGGCCTCCAGAATCGAACAGGAATTATACCACTGCTTTACTGGATCTTCAGTTTGTGGATGGCAGATTGTGGGTCTTCTCCTCCTCCACAGTCATGTGAACCTATTTCTCATAATAAATCTTTTCATATCTATCTCCTTTTTTTTTTTAATTTTTTTTTTTTTAAGATTTTATTTATTTGCGAGAGAGACAATGAGAGAGAGACAGCATGAGAGGGAGGAGGGTCAGAGGGAGAAGCAGACTCCCTGCTGAGCAGGGAGCCTGATGTGGGACTCGATCCTGGGACTCCAGGATCATGACCTGAGCCGAAGGCAGTTGCTTAACCAACTGAGCCACCCAGGCGCCCTTCATATCTATCTCCTATTTGTTCTTTTTCTCTGGAGAACCCCGATTAACACAGAGAACAATACCAAAAGACTAAATGTCTTGATACTTTGCATATGTATGATATTCCATGCTATCTAGAAAACATAATCCTTAAACCAGCAAGAAGAAGGGTGACTCACGCCTATTTGAAGAATTTCTCTGAATTATACTATTATGGAAGTGCCACATGACTATTGTGTTGTTTCAGTAGCTTGAAAATAATTAACTGTTTTCTTCCCTTTGTAGTTAAAATGAATCATCAGAAGATAAAATAAAACTCATTGGCAGTAAAGTCTCAAAAGGACAATTCTAATGGTCCCACTGTTTTGTTTTTGTTTTTTTTTTTTTTATTCATGAGAGACAGAGCGAGAGAGAAAGGCAGAGGGAGAAGCAGGCTCCCAAGGAGCAGGGAGCC